TATTAACTCCATCATCTCTATCATCATCATTATCACATTTATATAGCATTTGTTATGTGCTATTATTGAACCATTCTTGAAGTTTCCCAGGAATAAAAGTTCACTGGCCTATATATTTTTCAGATCCTATTCTCATCCCTTCTTTGAAAATTGAGACATTTGTTCTTCAGTCCTGCCGAACTCTTGTGTTTTCTTTCACAGATCAATGACAACAGCTTGGAAGCCACATCTGTTACTTCTTTGTGTACCTGAGGATACTGTCCATCTGGGCCAGGTGACTTGAATTTCATTAAGGGCAGCCAGGTGGTCTTTTAATATCTTCTTACCTATCTGAGGTATTTTGTCATTTCCAATACAAAGAATAATTCTCCTTGGCAGGAAAGACAGCAGTGTGATAAGAAGTGAGCAGCACTGAATTCTCTGGGCCTTTGGCTGTCACCATCCCATCTACCCTGAGCAGGGATCCTAGGCCATCTCTTCTGCCGTCCTTTTCATTACCCCTCAAAAGCTAAAAGGCAGAGTTTTGCTGGGCCACGCTTCCCTCAGCAGCCTCAGAGCTGGCACTGGAGCCTGTTTCATAGGATTCTACAACACTGTCCCATTCATCTAGTTACCCGCTTTTGCTTCTATTTTCTGTACATGTCCTATTTGTTTCAGTTTGATTTTATATCTAAACAAGATAAATGAACTCTCTGTATATTTACATGGCTTTCCACAAACAACTCTCTCTTCAGGGACAATTTCCTTCTCAGAATTCCGAAGTTCCTTCCTGACAGTTTCCCATCTCTTCAGGCTTGACTTCCCCCATAGAATTTTTTAGTCTGAGATCCTACTGAGCCTTCTTATAAACCCTCTAAAATCCGCTTTCCCCAAATCCACAATTCATATCAGACCACGCCCAGCCTTCTTCTCCTTCACTACCGCAAACTCTAGGAAGGAGAGACTGCTCGCTCCACTTTCCCCCATAAAGCTCCCCATCATTTCCACCCCAGTTCCTGCCTGTTGTCAAGAAAGTGATAATCTGGTCCAGTACAGTTTCTACACATTTTGAAGGATAAAATTAATCATTAAGGAAAGTATCTGCTTTTGGCAGAGAAAAAGACCAAGAGATGTCTGGATAACTGAAGTCTCCTAAGGCTGCTTCTTTGCCAGGCTCATGATCTGTTTCTCAAACCCCTCATCTATTTCTTCTTTCTGTCCAAATGGTCTGGTACACTGAGGACAAAATTGCTTCACCCATCTTCCACTGCTCTTCTCCTAAATGCTCTCCACTATTCTTAACCTTCCCCCATACCCCTCATTCACATGGGTATATTTTCTTGATATACCTTCCCCCGTCCTGCTTCTTCTGACTAAAGTATACCCAGCCATCCTGAGCCCGTGCCAGTCCTAAGTTTCATTCCACCACATCTCAATGATCCATGGAAGGTCAAACTGCCTTCCTGCATTAGGAGCTCTAGTTCCTCCTGCCTACTGCCTATATTTTGGGCATTTGTGTACAGATATTTGAAGCTGTGGGTTTTGCTCCTGGCTACCTTCTTAAATGTTGTCCTGTGGGAAACTCTGGGTGCACTGACTGCTTTTCTTCTTCCTCACGGTAGCTGCTCACTCTGGGATCTAGCTAGGTGGATAGAGAGAGGCCACACTCTACTGCTACTGCCACCATCCTACTTCAAACCCTTATTGACTCATGATTTCTAGTTTAAAGCCCTTTTGATCAGATTTCCAAGACACCTGACAAACACATTCTTATCACTGTTAGGTACACTCCATCCCTGGTAAGGAGTCTGTCATCCCTATGTTTTAAACTGTGGTCCATCCAGAAGACCAAATCACATTATCAGATACCACCTTCTTGGCCAGCTATTCCCTGCCCAAACCAGTTTTTCTCTTTTATATTCCATGTCTTCCAAAGGCAACAGTGAAGAAAACACATGTGCCCCTGTGGTATTTAATTTCTTGCTCAAGAATTCAAAATCTTTGGCAATACTTTGTAGGTTCCTTCTGGCAGTATCATTTGTACCCACATGAATCACCAAAAATGGGCAGCAGTTATATGTTTTGATGAGACTTTAAGAGGTTCTGTTATGTTTTGGATACATGCCCCAGGAAGATGACAGACCTCTGATATTGTTTTTAGCAGGTAGACAAATAGCTGTCTCAGTCCCCTTGAGCAGCCAGACAAATTTCCACATGCTTTGTAAAGCCCAACTTCTCTATTTCTGGGTATGTTCCATCAATATCACTGTCATATCTTGCCAACTGTTCCTATCCCTCAGTAGCTCCCATATCTGCCCTGCTCCTTTCACTATTCTAGCTCACACTTATCACCTTTGCCTGAATTACTTCTAACTGCCACTCAATCTCTTCTTCAATCAATCCTTCACATGTTCCCTTAGTAAGCTTTTAAATGCACCACTCTGATCAGTTACTTTTCTAATTTAAAAAAGAAAACCTTCTCTAATGGCACCCCACTGCATATGGAATAGAGCATAACCTCCTGATCCTGGCATTCCAAGGTCTCCAAAATCTGACTCTATGCTACTTTCTCACCCTTGTCTTATATTGCCACATGTCACATACTCTACAGTCAGTTCAACAGTATTTGTTAAGCCCCTGCCGGAAGGCACTGTGATATGGTGGACAGAGCACTGGCTCTGTCGTAAGAAGCACTGCACTCAAATCTGGCCTCGAACCCTTAACATCCACATGAATTTGGGCAGGACACTCTCTAGGCCTCAGTTTCCTCAGCTAGCCTCTGAGGACTCCTTCAGCTTTACATTTAGATTTCTGATCTGTGATCTTGCTGCAGTACAGCACCAGTCCTTAGGGATACAAATCCAAAAACAAAACAACCCATGAAATCAAGAAACTTAAATTCTTTTATCAGAGGGATATAGCAAACACAAGCAAATAAATTCAAGGTACTTTGAGAAGGGAGAAAGCATTAACAATTGGGAGAGTCACGGAAGGTTTTGGGGAGCAGGCAATATCTGAACTAGGTCCTTGAAGACAAAGATTCTGAGAGGCAGAGAGGAAGAGCCCATTCTAGACACGGAGGAGAGCCTGTGCAGATACAAAGAGGCAGCAGACAGGAGGTTGAGTCTGAGGAATAACCAGTAACCTGGTTTGGCTAGAACAGAGTTTGGGAAGGAGAGGTATGTGAGATAAGACCAAAAGGTTGTTTGCAGCCAGACTGTAGAAGGCCATTTAAATAATGTCAGTCCAAGAATATACTGTGTTGTTTCCCAGAAGCAACAGGAAACCCCTGAAGGTTTTTGAGCAGGGGAGTGACATAATCAATCTTGTACCTTAGGAAGATTATTTTAGCAGCTGAGCAGAGGACTGACTGGAAAGAGGAGAAACTGGAAGTAGGAAGGCCAATTAGAATGTTGTCTCAATAGTCTTGGGGAAAGGTGATAGAGTGATGTCAGTGTGTACGGGGAGGAGACAGGCTATGGAGGCAAAAGCATGATTTGGGAACTGACTGAATGAAGGAGTTGAGGGAAAGGAAAGAGTCGAAAATGCTTCCATACCTGGGTCAGAGAGTCCTCAGATCAATGCTGTCAAATCCCTTGCTTCCCCATTCTACTGATGCTTAAAACCTTGTCTGGGTAACTCAACTCCCACCATCTGTAAAGCCTCCAAAAAGAGTTCAGCTTAATTCTTCACACAAGAAAAACCAAGTGGATGAAGAATATCTATTGTCCAGTCTATGACATGCAGTTCAAAGGATTATAAATTTAGATCTGGAAGGGAGTCCAGGTACAGAGACAGCTCATAGAACTAATCCATAAGTGCACATATTTTGAACAGATATAGCAAACAGACAATAAAATAGGTCCAGAATTGAACAAGAAAAGAAGAGTGGGTAGGATTGCCTTTGGCAAACTGTGTAATGCTTTTAAGGATCCACAGCTTCTCCCTGAAATAAAGGCCAATTTTTCAAACATCAATATGATTCTGGGGATGCTGACTGGTTGCAAGTCACGGAACACCAGTCTCCAAAGAATTTAAACCACAGGTCACACAAAAGACAAAGGAGAAGCACATCATGGATGTAAGCATGCTGCAAAATACTACCAATTAAGAATTGTGCTAAATGTTATGAAAGAAATGTCTGACTGGAATAGCCTCTGGGCTTCACAGGTGTCTATCCAATACCAGAAGATCTTTGCCCCATAGGGCAAAATCAGAGCTAAATGGTGGAAGTCATTAAGATGTGAATTTAGCCTTAATGTCAGGAAAAACCTTCTAACAGCAAGAGCTGTACAAAAGGGGAAAAGGTCTACTCAAGAGCTGGTGAGTTCCCTCTCCATGGAGGTCTTCGAGCAGAGGCTGGATAACCATTTGTCAGCTACATTATATTAGAGAAGCCTTTCGTGCATGGGCTGGACTACATGGCTGCCAAGGCTCCTTCCAGCTTTCCAATTCTGTGGTTTTGTGATTGACAGGAAAGTCCTCCGCATGTAGAGGATTTACAGGAGGACACAGAGAAGCTTCATATAGGGGGCAAAGGTATGGAAGAGAAAGTATTTCCCCCATCAGAATGTAAAGATCTTGACAGCCCCGCCTTTCTTGTATCCCCCAGTGTTTGGCTCAGGGCATCATACAAAGTAGGTCCTTAATTAATGTTTGTTGAAGCCTTAGGTTATTTCTCTGGATATCTAGCCTAATCTCGCTCTCTTATATGAAGGCCCTCGTATCCGCCCTTGTCATGAGCAACTCTCAACCCATGGGCTTCCAAACAGCCTCACTTGACACACAATAGTTGCTACCTATTCCGTCCCCAGTCCCAGCCAGAAATACCATCTTCTCTGGTGATCTGAAGTCATCCAAACAAACAAACTACTGGACCCAAAATACTAAAGAGACTTAAGCAGCCAGAGAGCCAGGAGACAGGCATGCAAACACAGGTTCAAAGCTCATCTTGGAAGGTAAGTGGCCACAAAGGCTGCCGCTCAATAGGATAAGAAGCAAATCACACAATATATACTCACCCCTCCACATCACTGTCCACTAGGAGACGGACTAGAATGCCAGTCACAGCCACAAGAATTGGGTAGTGGTCCACACTCTCCAAGCCTGGGGAGGATATCCCAGTTAGTCTTCATCCCAACTCTCCCTCCTTGCCTTTCTGCTTCAAGAAAAAGCCCCAGTCAGCCCAAATGTCAGGGTGCAATTTTGGTGGCCTCAGGAGTATTCCTGAATTCTGGGAAGGAATCCCTTTTTCTAAATAGCAAACACTTGAATCCCTAATTCCCCACGTATCTCCTCAGTAATCCCCTGAGGGGGATTCCACATAGGGAAGACAGACATATGTGGAGTAAAATGGATAGCACCAAACTTTCTCCGCCACTTCAACTCCAGGTGCTTGGGATAGAGTGAAGGATGTGGAAGAACTTGAGTTCTACTAACCCCCTGCAATGTGGGGGAGCTAGAAACTGGAGTTCTGAACGGGAGCTGGGCCGAGATGAGCTGTCTAAGTAAACATCTCCGAGATGGGATTTGAGGCTTTATTTCAGATTGAACAGACTAGAGGGATACTTACCCGGCAGCCGGAGATTAACCACGCGGTCAAACAAGTTTCTCTCTGCTGTCACACGGTTCAGGACCTGGTTTAGTAGCTGATGGGGAGAGAGGAGGTGGGATTTGAGGGGAAGCTCTTAACAAGCCCCTAAGGTAAGCAGTGCTAGTACTGTTACCTCTATTTTACAGGTGAGGAAGCTGAGGCTGGATAGACTTGAGGACTTGCCTATGATCACATAGCTAGTAAATGCTGAACAGGATTCAAACCCAGATCTTCTGGCTCCAAGGCTAGGGCCCTTTCCACTATAAGACCCTGCCTTGACATAGTAAATAAGTAGGAACATATGAGTAGAAAATCAAAAGTCTACCAACAATCAGGAAGCTTCCTATTTCCCTGAAAGCAAGCCTGAATGAACTCAGTTCAGAATGCCCAAGTGGGCCAATCCCAAAAACGCACTAGGGAAAGAAGGTGGCAATATATAGGTGAGAGCCACCATTCTCTTATTAGGTCAGGGCAGAAGCAGCATACAAGAAGGCAAAAGCTGTCAGCCTAAGGAATCACAGGGACAAGTCAGACTTAGGTTCTTTAGCTAGAATTGCTTAGCAGCTCTGGGCACCATCCTGCCTGGGCTGAGTCATACTTTTGGATTACCAGCCACCGTCATGTATCTCTGTACACTGTTGTAGGTGCTAAAGGATGGACAGAGAATTTGTGATAGAAGTGTCTTAACCTATCGAATGATGTGGCTAGTCTTGGGTTGTCCTGTACTATGATGGACAAGGCTGATGGTGCAGGAGGTCTTCTCCATAGAGAAACTGGGACAGCCTGACATCTGAATTACGAAGGAACCCAAGAAGAAGAAATGGCTATTCAAGAGACTGAAAGCACAAAGAACAGAGATCCCAGAGAGAGGAAGCAAGACCCAAAGTGACTACTAAGGGGCCAAGTCAGCAACGAGAAACCAATCAATCAACCAAGAGTATTAATTGAGCACCTGTTGCTAAGCACCGAGCTAGGTGCTGAGGATACAAAAGCAAAAATTCTAAGTCGCTGATCTCAAGAAGTTTACATTCTACTAAAGAGTCAACATGCATAGATGTGGTTTGTTGTATTTTTTTGTTTTGTTTTGGTTTGGTTTTTTTTGGGGGGGAGTTTGGAGACAATCGAAGTTGAGTGACTTGCCCAGGGTTAGTAAGTTTCTGAGGCTGGATTTGAACCCAGGTCCTCCTGACTCCAAGGCCAGTGCTCTATCCACTGGACCACCTGGCTGCTCCTACACATGTGTTGATTATGCTAAAAGCATAGAAGGTGATGGGGGTAGGGCACTAACAGCTGCGGGGATCAGCAAAGACTCTGGGTACAAAGTGATACTTGACCTGTATTAAAGGAAATGAGAGATTCTAAGAAATGGAAATGAGAAGGCAGTGCATTCTAGAAATGGGGAGGGAGGAAGCTAATGCAAAAGCATGGAGATGGGACACAATGTGCTGTATACAAGCAACAGAAAGATCAGCTGAACTGGACCACAGAATGCATGAAGAGGAGGAATGGGACAAACCTGGGAAGGCTGACTGTGAAGGGCCTCAAGTGCCAAAAAGAGGAGTTTGTATTTACTCGTAGAAGTCATAAAGAACCACTGGGATTTATTAAGCAGGGAAGCCATGTGGTCAGATCTGTGGTTTGGGAAGCAGCTGACCCCTGTGCAGAGGATGGCTGGCAGCGGGGAGAGACTTGAGGTGGGAAGACCAAGGAGCAGTGATAAGGGCTTCAAGTAATGTGGTGACTATGAGGATGAAGAGAACAGATATGGAAGCTGCAGAGGTAGAAATGACAAGATATAGCTACTGACTGGACATGTGGAGTGAGAGTGAGGAGATGAAGATGACCCCAAGGCTGTGAAACTGGGTGCCTGGAAAGATGGGGGTACCTGAGTAGAAACAGGGAAGAGGAGTAAGTCTCGAGGGAAAGACAATGAGCTTGAGATTGCTACCGGATGGCCAGTTTAAAAAAATCTACTAGACTGGAACTCAGGAGAGACTCTAGAGCTGGGCATACAGCTAGTCAGCCAATAAGCCTTTATGAAATGCCAAGTCTGTGCCAGATGCTGTGCTAAGCGCAGAGATGATAACTGAGTCCATGGAAGCAGATGAATTCACCAGAGGAGACGGTATAGAGCAAAAAAGGGCAGAAGGCCTAGGGTAGAGCCTAAGGGACCCCCCCCTCCGCCCTGCAAAGTCAGGAAGTATGTGGTGCACTTAGAAGGAGTTGTCAGGCAAATAGGAGGAAAACCAGGAAAGAGCAGTGTCAGAGGATCTAGTAGAAGACGATGCTCCAGATAAGCAACAGTTGCAGAAATGGCAAGGAGGTGAGAAAAGGCCATCAGTTCTGACCACTAAAAGATCACTGATAACTCTGGAGAGGGCAGTTTCAGTTGAGGTTGGAAGTCAGATTCCGGCTGAAAAGTGAATGAAAGAAAAAGTGAAAGCAATGAGCACAGACAGCTTTTTCTAGAAGTCTGGCTATGAAAGAAAGAAGAGACTCAGGACAAAAGCTAGGGGGGGATGGCAGGTTCTAGAGAAAGTCTTTAACGGACAAGAGAGACAAGCATGTTTGTGGGCAGCAGGTAAGGAACCACTGGAGAGGGAGAGATCAAAGCTAGGGGTGGGCAGGGTGGGGAGATGAGGAGAGACAATGACTGTGGGAAAAAAACCACACATACTGCAGCTAAACTAATAATGAACTCGGGCAACAACATTCACACTCATTTGAGCCATCATCCTGACAATGGAGCCTCACCACAGGGAAGGCATATGTAAGAGCACGCAAATCAAAATAAACATTCTTGTGGCACATCCTGGAGAAATGTTTGAGTGAAATCTGGGAAGGACAGGCTTCGGGCAGGCTTTGTACATAGAGGAAGCCCAACCCCTTACACCTTTTAGCTAGCACTAGAGAGGCTCTTGAACACATACTTCGATAAATCCATGTTGCTCTATACTACTTCACCACCTCCAAAAGCCATACTAGGGGGTAGACTCAGAAGCTAAAACACACAGCCCACCAAGGAGGCATGCACAGGAGTGAAAGCACTGGCTCTGGAGTCAGAGAATCCTGGTTCAAATCCTGCCTCTAACACTTATCACCTCTAGGATTTTGGGAAAGTCATCCAACATTCTCTTGGTCCAGGCTTCCTCACTTATAAAATGAGTGGGCTAGATCAGATGGCCTTTGAGGTCTCTTCCCCCTCGGAACCTGTGATCCTTTTCCCTCAGAACAAAAACACCTACAAACCTACTTTCAATCTGAAGTAGATGTGGTGGTAGTGGGTAACAGAAAGAGCCCTGAGTTTAGAGGCAAGGGGCCTAGCTCGGGGCCCTGCCTCTGCTGCTTACTAGATATGGGGCCTCCCTTTCTAAGCCTCAGGATCCCTATCTGTGAAATGAGGTGACTGGATTAGACAGCTCTAATGACCTTGTAATTAACTCCTGGGTATTTGTGTGTATTTATTCCCTTTATAGTTACTCTGTGTGTATGTGTGCATGTCTCTCTATCTACAGCTATCTACATATGTCCACACATACACACAGATACCATTCTCCTCTGTTAGAATGAAGCTTTTCATGAGTAGGGGTCATTTCATTCATTGCATTAGTACCTCGAGTGCCGAGAACAGTTCCTGGCATACAGTGGGTACTTAATAAATACTTGTTGACTGATTGATTTCTAAGGTCTTTGGTCATTTCCAGTTGAATACTGAGTAATCTTATGTGGGTGGGTGCTAAAACCGGGGGATGCAGGGACTGTGGCAGCAGCCGTGGAAGAAGAGGGAATTAAGGAATGAGGTGACAGATCTCTGAGCCAAGGGAGGGAAGAAGGCTCAGAGACCAAGAAAGCTAGAGAACGTACAGCCTTGGCCCAGGGCTCAGAAACGAGCAAGGTTCCCAGGACTGAAGGACAAAATTCCTCCAGACTCGCTCCAAGGAGCACCATCCCAGGAAGCTGCTTTGGCAAACAGCCCAGGCTAGATCTAATAATATACTGCGCCCCAGCTAAGCTATTCCCTGGGCCTGACCCGGAGAGGCCAGCGAGCTGCTGGACGCCATGTCTGTATTGGGTATCCTCTACAGGCTTGGAGACATCCGGGTCCACCAAGAGGAGGGATGGCAGTGGGCGGCAGTGGAAAGACACTTGGATTTGGAGTATAAAGAACTGGGTTTGAGTGAAGACTGTTACTGACGGACTAGCCTTGGGACTGTCACTTAATCTCTGGAAGCCCCAGTGCTTGCACTACCTACCTCACAGAGTCATTGTAAGGAAAATGCTTTGTAAACCTTGTTTAGAAATGTGATCTCGTGTTGTTATTACACTCAGTTCCCTTTGCACTGCCCCCAAGCACAGAGCCAAGAGCTGCTATAGCCTCAACCAGGCTTTGGTGAAAAGAAATGGGAGTTCCCAATAGTCTGTGCCAGCCCTCGCTAGGCTGTTGTCCTGGGGGTCCCAAGGAGACAGACAGACAAGCTGAGAGCAGAAGCCTCAAGGTTCTGAGTGAGAATGCCCAGGGCATACCCTGTCCCAACAAGAACAGAGACAACTGGCCCCCCCACCCCTCCCTACCTGTGCCAGCCGCCGGAGCAGCAGCTCAGAGGAGGGCCGATTCCAGTCCAGGAAGATCTCAGGGGCCAGGGTGACAGTCATCTCCAGCACCCGCAGCAGGCTCACTGACAGGTCAAAGCAGGTGGCGCACACCTTCAGCTGACGACTGTCCACAAAGTTCCTTTCCAGGCGCTCGGCTGCTTGCTGAATCTGAATTCCCCCACCCCACCCCCACCACGGGCAGGATCAGCAGTGCCAGCTCCCCTGGCTCAGGGGCATTTAGACGTCCCTCAAATCTAAGTCCTCTTTTTGTCTTCTTCCCCTTCCCCAAAAACATTCCCAAGGACTCCATTGGAGTCCTTTTCAGCATGGTCCTGCAGCTGGCCTGCCTCCCCCAGGTTGTGGGATTAGCTTTAGTTAGGGGTGGGGATTTTAACAGGATCCCAGGACCTAAAGCTAGTAAGACTTTAAATGCCTAATCCAACCTCCTCATTTTATGATCTGGAGAAACTGAGACCCAGGGAAGGTGGAAGTGCTTTGTCCAAGGTCACACAGCATATGGACAGCCAGCACTCGAACTCAGGCCCTCTGACCCCGAGTCCCATGCTCTTGCCGCTCCTGTTTCTACATTAGCTCACCTCCTGGATCATGCCAATGAACTCAGAGAAGGCCCAGTTGAGCTGGTTAAGGACACTGTTGAGGAAGCTAGGGGCCATGTCACGGTCACTCCGTAGCAGGTCAGCCATGTGGCCCTGCAGTAAGGTAGAGGGGCAGGGCTCTGCAAGCAGAAAGAAGCATGTGGATCAGAGGGGGCGCAGAGAAATCCTTTCCCACACCCCAGGCACACACCCAATCCTTCCAAAAAGAGGCTTTGGTGACAGTGCCATTAGCCCAACACAATCATTTGGCCTCCAAAGAGAAGCCAGGGGCCGCCTTGCCCCACTTCCAGCATTTGGGACACTTCTCTGCAAGGCCAGCTCCCAGCAGACTGGATACAAGTGGTCTGCATTTCTTAATTTATGCCAAAGTTCAGGCCTGAGGTTTGGCCCTAATCCGGCTCTTTTCATTTTTTTTCCCTGTCTGTCTCTTCCACTACCATATCTGGCCAACTAAACTGGACAGCACTGGATTATAGATTTAGCACTACAAGAGGTCACAGCATCCAGAAGAGGGTAGCCAACAGCATCAAATGAGGTCATAGATTGAGAACCAGAAAGGACCTCAGTGATCACTGAGTCCAATCCTCTCATTCTACAGATGAGGAAAATGAGGCCCAGAGGTTAAGTAACTTGCCCAGGGTCACACAGTCAGTGAGTGTCTGGGGCAAGATCTGAACCCAGATCTTCCTAACTCCAAGTCTAGCACACTGCCCACTACACTGTGATGCCCCTGGAGCCAAGGCAAGACCTGATTCTGCCCATTCACTCGAAGTACTTGCTAGTCCTGACACAGCAGGGCAGGAGCCCATCAGGGCCAGCCCCCAGGCTGAGCATCAAGCAAAGGCATGGCTCCTTTTCTCCTGGGTGTTTATGGTTCCTTCTCCTGGCTCTGGGGGAACAGTTTTACCACCGAAGGCCAATGGTTCCCGGGCTGGGCAGAGAGCCTTCTTTAGCCACTCTTCTCCGGGGGTTGCCACCAGTTCTTCTGCTTCTCTCTGATCCCCTCCCCCCATCCTTCTCCTCTCCCTTCCCCTCTCTTCTCCCCATCTTCTTTCCCCTCCCCATTCCTTCTCTCCTCTCCCCTCCCCTCCCTTCTCTCCCTTCCCCATCTCTTCTCTCCTTTCCCTCTTCCCTTTCTTATCCTTCTCTCCTCCCCTTCCCTTCTTCTCTCCCCTCCTCTTCTCCTTCTCTCCCCTCCCCATCTTTTCTCCCCTCTCCCTCTTCTCTCCTTTCCCTTCTCTCCCCTCACCCTCTCTCCTCTCCCCATCTCCCCTTCTCTCCTCCTCCTTCCTCTCCCCTCCCTTCCCCCTCTCCTGGCCTTTCCTTTCCTTTCCCTCCTGCTATCCAGGCTCTCGAAATTCCTCCCACATTTTGTTTCAGGCATGCATTTGGCTCCAGGCCTGACAAGAAACTATCTCCTCAGCACAACTTCTCTGCTCTGCTCCTGACTTTGAAAAACTCTCCTTCAGTCCTGCTCTGTCACACCTCATTCATCATACTCAGGGAACCCTGCCTTCTTCAGCACTCCCACAGATACTCAACTTCCTCAGCCCTGCCATTTTAAAAGGCCTGTCCCAGTGCTAACTCTATATGCCCCATCAAGGCTCTGCCAAGCCCCCAACCCCAGAGTTCTAAATGATATATTTTAGTCCTCCAACACCAGGTAACAAGCTACCCCAGGTCCCCAGTCCCAGAATCATAACTGGGCCTCCCAGTCCACCCAACCGCATCATTATAATGGGGTTATTTCAATCCCAGAGTCCCAATTTTCCAGCCTCAGTGCTAGACTAGAGCTATCCCAGTCGTCCAGCTTCAGGGCCCTACCAGGGCTAGCCTTAGTGCTATAAAAGGGCTAATGCAGCCTAATCCTACAAACCTCATCATTAGAAAAGTGCTGTCCTTGTTCTCCAGGGCCATAACAGGGTTCTCTTAGTATGGCCACACTGCAACTAAGTGATCCCTAATCTTTCTGACCACTATAACAGAGAGCTGCTTTTTTTTTCCCTCTCCTGTCCTTTAGTAGTAGTAGTAGAAAAAGTAGGCTGAGAGTAGGCCTGTTATGGCAGTAGAGTTAGGGGATGAGTTTTCCTATATTCTCACACTACACTCCTGAGAGAACCTGTGATTCTACAAAGCGGATCTATCTGTCAGTCCTTAAAGCAATTCCCACTAGGTACAGCCTGAGCTGTGGCCCATGCTCACTCTTGATTCCAAGCCAACTTCTCAATGCTCCCTCATGTCCATGATTTTGACCTCTGGCTACCCCAGAGACATCTAGCCTGCAGCCAGGGTGGTGGGAAGAGCCTTGCCACTGTCTGGCTGAGGACAAAGATGGCACCTGGGGCCTGCTGGTCACACCTCCCCTACAGTGACGTCTGTAATTGGAGCTCTTGGTACCCTCTGTTCTGAGGGGCAACAATGGGAGAACCAGAGAGCCTCTCTCCCCAGCCCCTCCCACTGAAAATCAATGGCTCCTGCTGCAGCAGGCTCCTGGCCCAGCACACAGCTCACATTCCACCCTGGGGACAGGCTGGAGGCATCAAGGCTCAGGCAGAGGGACTCAGGGATGGAAAGGCACAACACATCCCTGCTGTTGGCATGCTAGATGACCTGGGATAAGTCATTTAACTTCCCTCTCCCTCAGCATCCACAACTGAAAGATGAGAAAAGCAACACTAACCTACCTAGCCGGAATACTGCCATGAAGAGAATAAAAACAACTTTGCATGGCTTATGCCTTTAATGTATACTAAAAACAGGCAAATTTAAATCATACGCACGCTGTAAAGAGTCACAGTACAATCTCAAACTGCAGACAGTCCACAATTGGTTTTGATTAGCTTAGGGGTGCATTATAAAGGTATCTCTTTTTTTTTTTTAGTTTTATTTTGTTTTGTTTTTCAGGGGAAGAAAAATGGAGAGAGGAATAAATTTGTATCTTAACGTTAACTGAAGGCTTTCCTTTCATGAAGGTCATGGTACTCAGTGCTTGGCCCTGTTTTACTCAACATTTTTCCTAGTGACTTGGGTAAAGACATAGATGGCATTACTGTCAAGTTTAAAGATGACAGAGATCTTAAGGAGAGAGTTAACAGATCAGAGGCCAGAATGACATTCAAGAAAGTCTCAAGAGGCTGAAATGGTGAGTTGAAATTCAGATTAAATTTTTTTCCTTTTTTTTGTTTGTTTGTTTTTAGGCAATTGGAGTTAAGTGACTTGCCCAGGGTCACACAGCTAGTGAGTGTTATGTGTCTGAGGCTGGATTTGAACTCAGGTCCTCCTGACTTCAGGGCTGGTGCTCTATCCACTGCGCCACCTAGCTGCCCCCCCGATTAAATTTAATAGAGATAATTCTGCACTTGGGCTCAAAATATAAACTGCCCAAGTACAGAATAGGGAAGGTTTGACTAGAAACAGCTTGTGTGAAAAACAAACAGGACAAGACAAACCTAGGCTTCTAGGAGCCAAAGATCCCAGAATGATTGGTGGTCTCACCAGTTCAGAAGTCGTCTCCAGCAAAGGAGACTGCCTGCCCATCACCTGCCCTTCTCGTCCATGGCCAGGTGGCGAGGCCTTATTCGACGTCTCCTGATGCCTCAAGGCTGCCAGGGGAGTACCCTGGCTGCCTGCCTGCCATCCCTCACCCTCACCACTTGACCAGCCCACCATCTCTTCCTAGCACCCATCTACTTGGTGACGTCTACTAGACCACGAGCTCCCTAAGTCAGCAGTGGGGCGTGGCAACCAAAGGAGTCATTTCAGTCTTACACTACGCTAAAAGAGTGAAGCCAAGCCAGACCATGGTGTCCAGCACTAGGTGACGGCCCTGCGGTCAGGCCCAGCTAGTGTGCTCAGACCAGAACTGGAAGATGCCCTAGTTCTGGGCACCAACAGGGAGAACGAGGACCAATATATGGAGTTGCCAGGAGGCATATTTCAGCTCAACAGAATGAAAAACTTCTTAACCATGAGAGCTGCCCCAAAACAGACTGGATTGCCGAGAGGTGGTAAGCTCCCCATCAAAGGAGCTCTTCTGATGAAGGGTGGGTAGATAGGTACAAGTGGATCCTGCTTTGGCTAGGGATTGCACTCCATGACTTGAGAACTTCCTCTTAAGTCTAGGGTTTTATGATTTAATGTTTTCTCAGGTTGATTTCAGTCTCTGAGCTCTAAGTAGGGTAAGACAGGTCCCAGATGTCCTGGGAGGAGTGGAGAAACCAGGCCACAGGGTCCTCCTAGACAAGTCATAACCTTCCTTCCTACCCCACCCAGGCCTCAGAGCATTTTATTTATACCACTTTCATGCACTTGTCAGTAATACTGCATATAACTATCTGTGTTTGTGTCATCCCCTATTAGACTGGGGACAGTATCTTCTCTAAACCTGGTCTCCCTCAGCATCTAGAACAGTGCTCTGTACACACTGCAGGTTTGTCAAGTTAATAAATGTTACAAAGGAATGAGACAATCCTAGCTAACTCTATAGTTGGACTATCTCACTTGTTCTTCATGATGGGTACCACCAGGTCTTAAGCTTGATGGACATCTCAGTTCAACAGGGCAATAGAAGGGCAGAACAGAGAGAGAGCCCACCAGGGCAATCAGGGAAGGAGGGCAAGGGAAAAAGTACCCTTGCCTAGAGCCAAAGCATTGAAATGTGCTTTGGAGAAAAGGATAGAAGAAGGGATGATGAAAGGCAGAGGGAGGGAGGAGAAGTCAATAAGTCAAAGGCAGGAAAAGTCAAGGTCAGAAATAAAGAACACTACAGGCCTTGGCTGAGACAACCACTGACTAAGGGCGTGGGAGAGGGCTAGCTGAGAAGGCAGAGGACAAAAGGCAAACCAAAAGAAACTGAGGAGAGAGATGAAGAACTTAAAATAGAAGCAGAGGGGGGTGGAGAGGGATAGGAGGGAGACAGAGCTGAGATGTTAAAGGGAGCGACAGGAAGGCTGCAGGGGACAGTGGCCTTCAGAAGAGGTTTGCAGATCAGAGACGTGCCCAGTGTGGTGTAGCAGAGTGAGCAGAGACCTTCTGGTCAAGAGCTGGGTTATAGTCCTGCCCCGGCCCGCTAATGCACCATGTGACCTAGGGCAAAGCACTCAAAACACAGACCCCAAAGAGAGGAAACAAGAAAGCTCTCACCGGCCCCTGAAGCCCCATAATTCCTGGAGCATGTGCACCGAGTTCTCCCTTGGGACAGGCGACCAGGCTGCCTTGCCAGAGCCCAGCAGCCCCCACACAGGAAGTTAAAATGATGCCAAACATTTGGCAGAAGAACTTCAGGCCCAGGCCAAGATGCTCTGGCTAAACCTGGGACTTGGGCCACCTCCTGCCCCTGCCTAAGAACTTTGCCCTCCCCTTTCCTCCTTTCATGCCCTCTCGTCCCAGTCTTCAGTAGCTCCAGCTCTTAGGCCTTGGGCCGAAAAGGGAGGCTTCCCTACCCCAGTCCTGAAGATCTAGTACTCACTCTGCAGGCTGGGGAGGTTGGCATCCTCGGGCTTTGTTTTCAGCAGATGAGGCAGCCGAGTGTAGCGATATCCAAATCCACAGCCCTGAAAGAGAAATGCCAGGGTGGGTAGGTCAGGCTGGGTCTTCCTTTCTTCTCATCCAGGACCCAGACCTTGCCTTCCCTCCAACACTGCTTTCTCCCTACCTCTTATCCTCATTGATTCCTACCTTACTGGATTTCTAAATCCTGGAGCCAACTCATGTCCCTCAGTTCCAAAATTGTGGCCATATCTCTAGACCTCTGGTCCAGGCCTTTGACCAATATGACACCTCTATTGCCTCAGCAGACCCCACATCTTACCACCCTCTCTGTACTCAAACACCTTATTCCCTTCCCTTCTCTGCCCCCCCACTCACTCTGCCCAGCTCGGTGCTCATGGACACAGAGGGACATTATCAAATGTCAGATTGACTCAATTTAGAAAACACTGATTGTGGACACATTTGAAGAGCCAGGCTTTTCCTGAGGGCAGCGTGACCTACATTTCCAAGTCTAAGCCCTACACTCAGTGGTAAATCCAAACAACTAGCCACAGGCAGGAGTGGCATCTGCCCCATCCTCGGCACCAGGGGACCTGCAAGACGGGGCACCACAGTCATTACCCGCCACAGCCGCACAAGGATCCAATTTGTCTGTGCCCAGGGACGCTGCTCGTAAGGAGCAAGGAGGTTCTTCATCATGGTGATCCGTCTGCCGAGGGGAGAGGGAACGTGTCAGTAGCTTCTAGATAGTTCCCTGGGTTTCTGGAAGCATGTGGGGATCTAAGGACTGCGCCACATCCTTCGAGAACCCAGGCTGAGTGATGTCTTCCTACCACCCATGCTACATGACAGGGTTCAATGGAGTGGGTAGAAAGGACTATATCATAAAAATAACTGTGGAATAAGAAACAAAGGGCCCTGACACAACTTTAAAAATAAAGACAAAAGGGATATGGGGGGTAACGAAGAAGACTATCCTGGTTTGTCAGGACCTTAGCATCTAAATTGGTGAGCAGAAGGGGGCCACGAGAAGCAGCTCACTCTTGTCCCGGCACAGGGAAGGGAGGATGCAAGAATGTCAAGTCACAAGTGGAACTGGGCAGACTGGTGGCGGTGTCATTTCAGTCACGTCCGACTCCATGATCCCATTTGGGGTTTTCTTAGCAAAGATACTGGAGTGGTTTGCAATTTCTTTCTCCAGCTCATTTTACAGATGAGTCAAACAGGGTCACACAACTAGTGTCCAAGGCCAGATTTTAACTCAGACCTTAATGACTCCAAGCCTGGTGCTCTATCTGCTGCACTAGCAACTAAAGGTACAAAGCTCAATTTCCTTGCCTAGCTGCTACCCAAAGGCACAGCAGGAATACCTCACATGATCTCGAGCCACCGAGCTCATTCCAACCCTCTCCCCTCATCCCTCCAGCAACAGCAAGCTTTTCTTCTTCCCCCCACCATCTCCCCACTTTTCCACCCACAAGCTCTACTCCCACCACTAGCACAGGGGGGCTCCAGTACTCACTGCTCCTCACGTATCCTCTCCACAGCACGCAGAGAGTGGGGATAACAGACGTAACTGGCCAGCGCTTGCATCAGTGAATCTCGGATGTCTGAGTGGTGACAGAAATGTCTGAGGACCCAGAAAGGGAGATGGGGACTGGAAAGGGGCATCATCGCACAAGTGGCTCAAGGCCTCATGGAAGGCAAAAGGGCCAGTGTCACTAGACTAGGAGAAAAAGGCTACTCCTTTGATTTACCAGGCCAAACCCCATTCATCCAAGAGCTTGGGGCCTTTTGTGGGTGAAGGATTAAGCTGGGGGGCCCCAAATTGTGGGTCCCTTTCTGGGAAAATGAACAGCCAAGGCCAACGAAATCCAGGGTCCAGCAGGCAGGCCATCCTATAGGATGGATGGATTAGGAGGGCATTCCTTCCTACATGTTTGGCTCCCTCTGTCTGAGAGGTCACAGTCAAACAGCACAAACAGCAGCCACACCTTGAGCCTGCTTCACCCACCTGACACTTCACAGAGCTTGGTTAACAAAGCTTGGTTATAGCTCCTGGGACAAGGCAAGATGGAGATCTGACTATGTCACGCCCCTGTTCAAAACCCTTCAGAGGCTCCTATTGCTTTTAACATAAAATACAGACCCCTCAACCTGACACGTAAAGCCCACCCTGCGCAATCTGGCTCCCATCTACTTCTTTAGCCTTATTTCACTCCCCTTTATCTAGTCTAGGTTCTGGCTAAAACTAGTCATTCCTCAAACCGAAATACCATCATCCACATCCATGGATTTGCATTAGCTTTCCCCTCTGCTGGGAATGTGCCTCTTCAAAACCTCTGCTCAGAATCATTATCCTCCTATAAGGCTCAGCTGGGCTACCACTTTCTAGGGGAAGTCATCTCTGACCATTGGACCACACCCCTTTGCAGCGGCCAGGGCTGCTGCCTCTGCCTCTTCCTCCTCCTCCTTCTCCCTACCCTCCAGTCATTCATCTCCTCTCTCACCTGAAATTAAGTTATTCACATGCATGTTGTACTCCATCATGATAGCTCCTTAAGGAAAGGCACTATTTTGTTCTTTGTCTTCATATTCTTAGCACCACACACAGCACCTTGTACATAGTAGGCACTTAATGCCTGATAAATGGAATTGAAAGACTAAAATAACTAGGAAATCAAGCCTTCAAGAGTTGCAAGTTTTCCCGGCTCTTGCTAAGTTCAGGGTCCTTGGGGCAAACATCCTCACTTGGCCCACTCCCAATACAGTCCTGCAAGAAGTAAGAAAACCACCTCACCTGTGCCCACAATTCTTGTGTCTGCAAAGTGTTTGGCTAGAATCGCAGCAAGGCGGGTCAGGGTCTCCTCGTAACCTGTGGAGGCAAAGAGTCTCAGGATACAGGCCCAGGACCCTGGAGATTCTGTGCTTGTGGTGAGAGTCTAGCTCAGAATCAAGGCAAGTTGGCTTCAAAGAGACTTCTACCTAGTATGAAGGGGAAACAAAGTCTTCCTCTTCCGTGACTAGAATCTTCAAATGCCTCTATAGAGAGAACTGATCATCTCCTGTTAACTCCTCTGACTCTTCTTGCTCTATGGGAAGATTTCTTGCCTCTTTGGGCCACATCTCTGGAACCCCTAGCCATGGCCTGGCTAAGTTAACAGACCCCCTCATCTTCTCCTCCTTGTACGTGCTCAATACACAAAGGGCTAAGGGAACCCTAGGGATTTTAACACAGAGAAAAGGAAAATCCCAGGTAGTTATAGCCAAGCAAAAGATACCTGATACAGATGTACACAGAGATGTCCAATAGGATCCTCATAAAGAGTCATCACTATTTAAGCTAAGAGTCCAGACAAACAGAGTACCTTAGACAGACCAGGGAGTAGGGGTCCCACATGCCTGTCAGGGCTTTTCACATTTAATGCCAGTGTGATAGGCCCTTCCTTTGCTAAAGGTCATTTGTCACAAAAGAGGTCCTTTAGTCAGAGACAGGCAAAGCTCTGCACAGAACATCAGGGAAATTTATGTATTTGCCACTGGATTTGAACGTCATCTCTTCTATTCCAGGGTCAGCTAGAGAGAGAAAATCCAATGACAGACCTAACCAGCTGCATCAAAAGAAGGATCATTTTAAAGTCGGTTGTTGTTCAAAGGATCTGATACCACCTAGGAATTAAAAAAAAAATAGCCACACATTTCCCACCCCCCTCAGCCTCAGCACTAGGGTAAGCCAAATGAACAGGGAAAGGACCACAGGCTAAGCGTAGTTATCATGATGAAGCCCTGCCCACATCTAACAGCACATCATATTGACTTTTCTAGGCACTTCTGCCCCTGAGTTTACCAACATTCCCACATCAGGCTTAGGTGCATTCTTATCCTTGTCAAGTGAAAGGTGCAATGGGGAAAGAGTATTGGATTTGGAATGTTAGGGTTTGAATGTAGGGGTAATCAAGTAAGTAGGCTGTCTTTATGACCTTGGTCAAGTCCCAACCTCTCTAGGCCAGTTTCTGCATCTGTAAAATGATGGAGTCAGACCAGATGATCACTGAGGCCTTTTTCAGTTCTAAATCCTGTGATTCTTCTACTTCTCTTCTGGCCCAGACAATGATTAGAAAAATAGACCTGAAAGACCTGGGAAGACTTGTATGAAACAATGCAGAATGAAGCAAGCAGAATCAGGAAAACAAGCTACACAATAATAACATCGTAAAAACAAACAACTTCAAAAGGCTTGAGAACTCTGCTCAATGTGACGACCGACCCCACTTCAAGAGCACCAGTGAGTGACAGCAGCCTCAGGGTAGAGGATGAGACTTAGGTTTTTTGGACAAGGCCAATGAAGGAATGTGTTTTGCTTAACAATGCATATTTGCTACCCAAAAAATTTCTTTTTCTGGTGGGGGGGAAGGAGGGAAAATACTTTTTTTCTCATTAAAAATATTAAATTAAGAAAAAAAAAGAAAACATACCTGCATGTGTACTATGTGTGCCACTGTCTGACCTCTGAAAGACCTCAGAGATCATCTAATCCAACCCTCTCATTCTACAGGGGAGGAAACTGAGGCTTAGTCACTAAAACCCAGGTCTCCTTACTCCCACTTAGTCTGGAGCTCTTCCTATTATATAAGTGATCTCTTCCCTTTGATGGGACAGATAAGAACCAGATGTGTTTTCTCTTCAAAGTTGAGAAATGGTGTTTGGGCCTTTGTGCTGGTCAAACTCTGACACATACGAAGAAGGAGATGCCTTCCCAATAGATTGTGACACATTTCAGGACAAAGAAACAATGTGAGGGGGATGGGCAAGGAGAAGGGTGAAGAGAACAGATGGGCAGACAGTGGCTAGGGGGCAAGGCTGTTTTTCTGGGTGCTCTTTTCCTTTGGTCTTCAAGAACACCTACTCCCTAAGATCTCCTCTGAAGCCACGGCCTAACCTCAAGAAATTCAGGGACTTCCCCCACATGAGTTAAAGGACTACAGCAGCAGCAGGCTGAGCCTAGCCGGTGTTCTCTGACTACACGCATGTACCCACTTCTGGCTGTTCCAAGAAGCCGGCACCGCACTGATCAGGGCTGTGAGGGACCCAAGGGGCTAGGTCAGGGCTGTCAGCCTTTTCCAAGGAGGCCCAAGGCCACAGGCAGGGGTGGTTCACACAAGAGGCAAGAAAGATCATTATACAAAATATCTGCATGTACTTTACATATGGCTACAGACAATGCAGCCTGGCTCAGGTTCAATAAATCAGGTTCAAAGATAATTAATTATCACCAACCTGAAGATCATCCTCTGAATGTTTCTCTCTAAACCTTCTCTCATATCCAGTCATACTAGCCCATCTCCCCCAACCCAGAAATGGTTAGAAGCTGCAGCAGAGATTAAGATGGGGGACAGTGTGGCCATCACTCCATGGAACCCAGGTGAGAACACTAGTTTCATCCATTGGTGGGAGCCTTGAAAGGGCAGATCAGAGGGGATGAGAGCAATGAGGGGAAAACCACCCAGAAATCAAACCTAAAAAGGCCCAGTCTGGGAGAGCCATGTAAGAGAGGCTTGTGACAAGGCAGCTCTGAATGCCAGGAGAAATAGACAAGCAGGCTATTGGGGGCAATCCCAGGATCAGCTCAGGTTCTGTCACAAGCAGCTAGAGCATTCTGCTTTTTCATGATGCTGTGACCCCTTTGATTTGAGACGGGTAAGTAGAGGGCAACATGTAGCTGCCCCTTCCCCCTAAGGACTTCTAGAGAATCAAACATTTTATGCAGGCTATCTGTCTTCCTTTGAAGTTTCAATTCTGCCAGGCCACAGGTGCCTTCTCCCTTTCTCAGGGATTCTGGGCATAGGCCACCAGATCTCCCTATCCAACCTGCCTCGACAATGATGTCCTAGGCTGTGGTCTGCCAGAAATAACAGCTCTTCCCTTTTTAAGAAGCCTAATGACCTTTAAGAAGCAAGCCTAAAATGCCCAACCAGTGTAAAAACTGACACCCTCTGAGGGTGAGTATGTACCTGCACATGCCAAGATCTCAGCTGAGAAACCAGTGTCCACAGACTGTTAGCACCCAAACCAATAGCTCTCCACCCTGCCCCCAAACAAGCACAACTTTAATCACTGCTAAAGTCATATATCAGCTATCCCCCTCTTTCATGCTGTCCCATCCCCCTGGATGCTGTCCAATGTGTTCTATCATTCCAATCTGCATTTGTCCTAACTTCTGTCTCCCAAATAGGGCCCAAAGCCAGCCTTTGCGGGGCTACGTCTTGCTGACTTGTTTTGTAAAGAGAAGCATTCCCGTCCCCACTGAGCCAGCTAGAAATCAAACTGCCAGCGTGCCCTCAAGGAACAGGGCCCAGCTGCTTTCCAGTGCACTTCATACCTCTCCTTCCTTCTCTGTCCTCGACCTTCCTCAACTCTAGGAGACTGCTGACCCATAACCAAAGCCTGGCACAGAAGAGTTAATATGGTGAGCAGTGACACTGCCCCTGACTTTCCTTTCTGGGAGGCTGCAGAAGCAAATGACCTGATGTCTCTCAAGCTGTTAGTGCTCATGCCTGGGGAAGCAGAATCAGAAGCTAACACACTCCTCTCCTGGGCAGCGCCCTGTCCCCACTTCCAGATTTCTATTATCCCCACGGCTTCAGCCTCTCTGGCTACTCTCAGGAAGCTGAGAATCTCAAGGAGTATTGTTTGGAATCAGCCCTGCTGCTGCAGATGGTAGTTTGGTTGCAAGAGGCCGTCCCTAGGGAAAGGCCCAGTTTGCATTCTGCTCATTTGCAATTGTTTGTATGCCACTGAGACAGTCTGAGAGCTTTTTTCCTGTGCATACTCCATCTCCTACCTAAGACTGAGAGCTCACAAGGGCAGGGCAGTGTCCTGTTAGAACAGGCATTACCAGAAGACAGAGGCTATGCCTCCCTTGTTAGATGGGGGCCCCTACAGGGTGGAATTGTGTTCTATTTTACTGAGTTCTAAACAGAATAACAGACAAATGACTATGGGAAGATATTTCTCTCATCCTCTAGTGAAGGATCTCCCTTCCCCTACTCTAAACCTGGGCTTCACTTACCTGGCAGCTCCTCCATGCTATTGACAGGGCTGAAGTAATTTTTAAGGGCGCTGTAGCTGTTCATGGCGACACTTAGGTAGAATTCTGGCATAAAGGCGAAGAGGGAGCCTGTGCGGTCCCCATGCTCTATGGTGCGGATACAAACCCGGAGGAGCCAGTAAATATCCTGCATCTTCTCCTGAGAGGAAGACAGGAGAAAAGAGAGACTAGACCACACACAACTCCCAGCAATAGCACAGATGGGCCCAAGACCACATGTCCCCAGGGCCAGTACTTAACAGAGTCACCTCTGAGCACGGAGACAGGGAGGTGGGGCAGATAGGCTCTTGTAGTAGGAATATCTGGAGATTCAGCGAGAAAACGGAACACCCCAAGGAACCAGCTTGAAGAAAGAGTATACCTGCCTTTGGGCCTTTAGTCAAATGCTACATAGGAACCATGGGAGGATGGCAATAGGGTTGGGATAACATCTGTACCCAAGCAACAAAGATGGCTTCCATACTTTGTCTACTCCCAAAATACCCAAAAAGCTGCTAAGGATGTCTCCTCTTTGTCATATTTAATCAGCATCCAGTGACCCATACAGACCAGATACTCTGAGCTTTTGGGGACAAAACTGGTTTAGGTGGGGTGAGATGGAGAAGGAGAGCAGAGAAGGACGATAACAACAGCTCAGCACTTGGTTGAAAGACGATAATAAAAATAACAGTAATAACTGGGATTACTATGGTGACTTAAGGTTTGCAAAGTGCTTTACGTATGTGATCTTTGCATGACCCTGTGCAGTAAGAAAGAGCACAGGATTGGGTCCAAGGACCTGGGCAGTGAAGTGGCAAAATGAATAGCACATTGGACTTGAAGTCAGGAAGACCTGAATTCAAATCCTGCCTCAGAAATTTACTAGATGGCTGACTTTGGACAAGTCACTTAACCTCTGCCTGTCTGTTTCCTCATCTGTAAAATGGGGATAATAACAGCACTTACTCAAAGGTTATAGTGAGGACCAAATGAGATGATATTTGTGTCTGGCACATAGCAGGCGATATATATATAAGTGCTAGCTGTTGTTTAACTATTACTTGAATCCTGGTTCTGCTACTCATTACTTATGTGACCTTGGGCCAAGTCTCTCAGGATCTCAGTTTCCTTATCTACAAAAACAGGGGATTAGACAAAATGACCTCTAAGGTGCCTTCCAGGTCCAAATCCCATGATTCTGTGGTTGCCATTTTTAGTAGGAACATCCTTCTTGAGCTCTACAAAGCTCTACCTTCTCCAACTCACAGTTTCAGCGGGTAGGTTAGTTGGGTAAGAACCATAGTCTTAGGTGACAAACGTGAGGCAGAGAGAAGTCTCTTGCCTAATTTAGCCACAAGCTATCAGATCGGTATTCAATAAATCTAAGGTATCAGTGATTTGAGGGGATAAAGCGACCACCCTGACCCAAATTAAACCCTAACCAAACGGCCCTCACCTTAGAGTAGATGGTGACATTGATCCAGGCAAGACGGCGACTCAAATGATTCAGTTTCTCAGAGAAAACCTTCTGACTTTTCATCAGTTCTTCCTGAATGTCTCTCCTCTGTTGATGTGCCCAGGAGAGGAGATTCAGTAAGTGCATCTCTTCTCCCTAACCCTGGACCACACCCACAGGTTGTTCTCTCTGAAACCCCACAACATACCTGAGATTGACACTCATTTACAAACCTGTACAGCTTAATGAGGAAACAGAAGCTCCCTTCCCAATCCAGAGCTACCAATGGCAGCCTCATCCCAGAGAGACTGGAGCGACAAGACCAAAAGAATGATGGCACAAAGAATAGCCATGAAGGTTCTAAGTGACATATCATCAGCAGAGAGCACCAAAAGAACCAGAAGCTAAGTCCTTCTCTGCAAGGGATTTGCAAGGAGCTCACTTTTGGCTCAATACGGAAATGACTTACACATAAGCGGATGCTTAATAAATCTTGTTGAATTGAATAATCAGAACTTCCTAGAAGTGGAATGGGCTGTTTCAGTCAGTCAATAAATGTTTATTAAGCACCTACTGTGTGCCAGGCACTATGCAAACTGCTGGGGATACAAAGAAGAATCAAAGACAATTTCTGCTCTTGAAGAGCTCATAATCTGATGGGAGAGACAACATGTAAACAACTATGTACAAATCAGTTATGTGTAGGACAAAGAGGAGATCACTGACAGAGGGGAGGCACTAAGAGAGATCGGGAAGGGCTTTCTCTAGAAGGTGGGATTCTAACTGCGATTGAAAGAAGTCAGAGAGGTGGTGCTGAGAAAGGAGAGCATTCCAGGTATGGGGGAGAGCCAGAAAAATGCTCTGAGTCAGGAGATGGAGGAAGAACCAGGAGGCCATTGTTGCTCGGTCAAAGAGTATAAAGTAGGAGGAGGGGCGCCAAGTATAAGAAGACTGGAAAGGTGAAGGGGGGGCGCCTATTATGAAGGGCTTTGAACATCAAATGGGATTTTATACTTGGTTCTGAAGTTAACAGGGAGCTACTGGAGTTTATTGACTGAAGGGGTAGAAAGCTCAGGCAGTGGCTGGACAGCCATTGGTTAGGATATTCTAGATTGGGTTCCTATTCAGATACATTTGAGGTCCCTTCCGGTTCTGAGATTCTGTCAAACTATGAAGTGCTAAACAGCTGTACTGGCCTGGCCATACACACCACCTTCAATTAAGAGAGCTCAGGAGGCACTAAATCACCCCTGCTCAGTCTCCCTACAATTAAAAGAATCTGATGAAATGAGGAAATGATGAGATAGTTTTATGTGGCCAGGAGGAAAAGGTAACTGGTAGCCTCCCTTTTGTAATCCCAGGGCTCCATACCTAATAGGTACTTAATATCTGTTGACTTTGATCCCATGGGACTCTACCTGAATACAGCTTTTCTAGAGCGAGGGGAAATGAATATTATCTTTTTGGCTGTTTCTGACCAGGAGTCCTAGGGCCAGACTACCCTAGCAGAAAGCTAGCTGCCCCACAGCATGTCTATACACTGGGGTAAGGGGAGGCAGAGTGACAGAGAGATTTCGATCCCTTGTGTTTGGAACTCTGATGACTCAGCAAGTGATGGGCACTTTCCTTTCAGATTCATAATTGATGTTCTCCTCATAAACAGCAGAGCAGCGGCCAGCTCTCCCAAGCACTGCTGTGTATATGGGTTCCCAGACCCACACATTAGCACTTAGCAGGACTGAGAGGACTTCCCTAACGAGGTGGGGGCAGGGGCTAACACAGCATCTCGCTGCTCAGAAGCCCTGATGACAGCAGCAGCCTTCGCCCAACAGCTAATGAGCTAATCTAGCCCAGGCACAGGCCCAGGGAAAATGCCAAAAGCCAGAAGTCCAGTAAGATTAAAGGCACAGTCTAATAATAAAGAATAAGCAAAGGTTATCTTTCTAAAGCAGGTAAAGGGTATGAAGCAGATACTGAAGGAAAAGAGGAAAAAGGAGGCTCATATCTGGGAACTCTTTGGGCTCTATATCTGGCAGGGGAGAAGGGAATGGGGGCAGTTTTCTAGGAACAGAACATGATGCAAAGATGTGCCCTCAGGATGGGAAATTAGTATTGTTACTTTTCTTATAGTCTCTCACTCTGGATGGGGCTGCACGTTAAGAGACGGCATGAAGCCAAAGGGACCTCTTGGACCCAAAAGGACTGGCTTTCAGTGGCCCTACTGACCACCCCAGCTCTAAGGCTCAAAAGACACCATTCTTACCCACTTTGGACACCGGCTGAGCTTCTCCTCTGTGTCTTTCAAGGCCAGGGCATACTCATTCACGTCATCAGAAACACCCACCATCTAGGATCAAACCAGCACAGGGAAACAACTCCTTTATCTGCCCTCCTGAGGTAAGCCTAATAGCCCTGGTCATACCAAGTCCAGAGCCACTCTCTTCATGAACAAACCCTGCCCATCCCTGCCCTTTAACCCTCCTCTTACAGGCTCAAGGATGAACATTCCATAATTAACTATAATTTGGGGGAAGGGGAGAATCAAAGAAAAATTCCTGAAAATAGCCTTGCCACACTGCATGTACACACAGATGATTCTAGGGCCAACCTAAAGAGAAGGATATAGATTTAAGTTTTAAGGGGCCTCAGCAAAGTTGATCTTTTGTCCTCCCTCAAAACCCACTGTTCACAGAGTCCTATCTCACCCCACCCACCAGGGTAACTCTAGATGAGGAAATCTTTTCTTAAAGCTCCTCCCACCCCGCAGTCTGTCTCATTCTGTTTCCTAAATAAGCTACAAGAGCGTGCAGATCTTCCCAGGACACCCATGGACCAGGATGACCAACTCTGCAGGGCCAAGGCTCTGGTTTCCAGGTGTGGAGAAGGGATCTCTAGCTCAGCCCCACCGGAGCCAGAAGAAACTGGTAGGACCAGGGAGCTTTCTGTTGTCAAGTAGCTACTTCCCATCAAGCTCTGCCAGGAAGCCCAGGTCTGAACTCTGCTGGGTCAGCAGAAGTCAATCCCCTGCTCACCTTGCCCAGCTGCTGGTGAACACTCAGGTTGTACATCATGATGACCCCATCCAGAATCTCTAGTAGAGAGTTCTCCGTAAGGGGCTGATCTGGTTCCTCTGGGGGCCTCCCCAATAATAGGCCTTCATTCCCATGGCTCCCTTCAACTGCACAGGGAAAAGAGGCTTAGGACAACAATCAGTCTCCCTTGCCCCTTCCCTAAAGCGATGGAGCAAGAGGGCTTCCCACGAGTCATCAGTTACCTCCTTTCAATGGCTGCCCCAGCCACACAAGGAGAATAGTGCCCCAAACAGAAACACACTACAGTGCAACTGAGGACAAGTCAGGGATCCTCAAGTCAGGCAGTTTGGGACAACAGGCAGGGTCACACAAACAACACGGCTTAAATGGGCAAGCCCACTCTAATATGACTAGGCCTGGATGTCTAGGGGGAGGAGAACCAGCTGAATGAAGGCTTATGGTCTCTTGTCTACCTTAGGAACTATGACTCACAGCCCTTCACACCTCTAAAATAAAATTAAATTCAATGAGTATAAATGAAACATCTTACACTTGATTTAACAAAATAGGCTTGGAAAACCAATAGGAGTCAAGAGTATAATTTGACAGCCAAATACACTAATGCAAGCGTAGGCTGCATTCAGAGAAACAGGATCCAGACCAAAGGAGCTAACAGTCCTGTTATACTCTGCTCTGATCAGATCATAACTGGGCACCACGTTTTGGACAGCTTAGACCACATCCACAGGAGGACAAGCCTGCCATGAAGGGAGCACCTGAAGGAGCTGGGGATGCTTAGCCTGGGGGGTGGGGAGGGCTGACATATAATCACAACCGGAAAGGCTGTGATGTAGAAGAACGGATAGATTTAAGTCTACTTGTCCAAAGAGTTGTAACTGCACAGAGGCAAATTGCAGTGCAATATAGGGTAAAACTTCTCAATGAAAACTGTCCCCAAATGGAGAGTGGTTGAGTTCCCTGTCACTGGACATCTTCCTGAGAAGAATGGATGATCTCTCGTCAGAGATGCCACAGAGGAGAGATTCTCGTTCAGAGTGTGGAATAGAGGATTTTTGAAGCCTCTTCCAACGTGGAAGTTGTGTGATGCCCTGTTGGATCCCTGTAGGGTCCTACAAAGAGCAGCAGGGAAAGCCCATGGTACAAGTACTTTCACAAGGTCAGATCTGGGCAAAAGCAGTGGGGAGAGCTATTTTTAAAGCATCAATTTCCTCATTTCATCTCCTCACTCCTGAAGGTGCTCTTCCCAAACCCACATGCAGCCATTAGTGGTCACCTAAACCCAGGGCAGGGCTGGGTCAGAGGCTGAGGGGACAGAATATTTTCCTGAAGTTTGCCTGGGCATTGATCCAGGCCCTTGAGGATAAGAGTCTCCTGACGACCCCCAGTCCCTTCTGGAGTACTTGGCTCCTTACTGACAGAATGCAAAGTCAGAGGAAGCAGCATCACTTCCAGGATTCCAGAGCCAGCCAACAGGGCAGGGACCTGCTACCTCATCACCAGCATGGGAAGAAGAAAGGCCCAGAAAACTACCGACCACCCCTATCACCCCCTACGAGACATGGAAGCCCAACTGGCAGGCTGCCAAGGCCACAGTCCCGAGATCTGGGCAACAGAACACTTCATTCTGAGGAAGAAGTCTTAGGGAGTCTTGGGTCTTAATGAGAGCCATCAGGGTCCTTGGAAGACTGGCTCTGTCAATCCCAAATCCCCTTCAGGAAGGGGCCAAATCCAATGGGATTTGTTACCCTGGGTATAGGGGCATCCTCTCATAAGGTCCTTTGCTGTAATACCAGTCTTATCCACTTCTCATCTTTGTCCTCTCTGGTCCTTCCTCCACACAACTTGCAAAAGAATCTTTCTAATGTATAAGTTCAACTATGTCACTCCCTTACTCAAAAATCTTCTGTGGGTCCCTACTGACTATAGGACAACAAATAAATAAATAAATAAATAAATAAATGAATGAATGAATGAATGAATGAATGAATACATAAATAAATAAATTCTTGAGTCTGGCATATAAAGCCCCCTGGTTCCAAGCAACCTGGCATATAAGGCCCTCTGGTTCCAACCAACCTTTGTGGCCTCATTTCACTCTACTGTCTTTCAAGAATTTTCCATTTCAGAAAACCAGACCATTCACTAATTCTCCAAACTCACTAGGCCACCTCCTCTCTCCATAGCTTTCAGAGGCTACCCCCTTGAAGGTGCTCAGAACAAACCACCTCCATCTGCTGAAATCCTATTCTGCCTTCAGAGCTCAACTCAAATGCCACTTCCTCCCTGAGGCCTTCCTTGATCCTTACAAATGAAAGTAACTCTTCACTCTTAAAATTTCCTTCCGGCTCTGTCTCTCCTTTGCTCTAGCATGTTCTACCTTATACTAGACTTATTCCTGTAGAATAGTACCAATAGATTGCAAGCTCATTTAAAGCATGGACTGTCTCACTTTTCAACTGTATATCCCCAGGGCTAAGTGCTTGGTAGACCCTTCAAAGATGTCTGTTGATTTGAACTGTCACAGCACCCCCCCATGCCCCATTACATACTATCCTCCTCTGTTCTCTGCTCCACGTTCAGTGTTCGGATTTTCACTTTTTCCATGGTGCCCAAGGGCCTGCGGGGGTTCATGAGGCTCACGGCTGCTGTGCTGAGGAAGCGGTTGGCCCTGCTCAGTGTTGGGGAGCTAAGCCAACTAGGCCTGGCCAGGGCCCCTCCAATAGCTAGAGCAGCCACAGGGCGCTGAGAAAGAAGAGAGACCAATCACACTGGGAGTCTCCCCAGTGTTTCCCCCCCCCCGAAAAAACCACCCCATTAGGCAGAGCTTAGCTCTCTCAAGTTAGTGAGGTAGCTGTGGTGTGGTTAGGGTTAGAAAGAGCATTCGACTAGGAGAAGATATGTTCTTTTCCAGATCTTGCACTTACTAGGAGGTGAAACCTTGTACAAATCACCTCTCTGAGCCTTATTTTCCTTTTTTGTAATGAAGGCAAGGACTGTGTGAACTTTATATCACCTCTAGCATCTAGCACAGTGCTTTGTACACAAGGATTTAATGAGTACTTGTTGAATGAATAAAAGAATGACCAGACCTGCATATTTAACAGGGATATTGAGAACATAAAATAAGATAATGGTTACAGATGGTGTTTTACAAACTATTAAACATTGTATACGTAGCACTATTATCTTCTGGGAAATAAATGGGAAAGAGTGAAGGTAGGACCACTATCCCAAAGGAAGACAGCCATAGAAATTCTGTTTTCACGTAGGTCTTCAAGGAACTCCACAGGCCTGAGGCTAGGGAAGAGGAGAAATTCAGAAAGGATGCTTTGTGCCCCAAAGCAGGGGGTGGGGAGTGATGTCATCTCAGTGAGAGCTGCTCTGCATCTAGGCCCCTCTCTGGGAGTCTAACCTGGGTGTCCTGGGAGAAGTCTTCCCAGAGATGACCTAAGTCACCTAGATTAGAAGAATACTTTGGGATAAACCCAGGGGGATATGAGAGGTCCAAAGAGAGGGCAAGAAAAAGTATTTAAGGAAGGGTCACCTGTGCAGTTGCTGCAGCTGACTCATCATCCTCATCAAGGTCATCCATGGTGATGGCTTGCAGCTCTGAGGGGTCGATCAAGATGTTTGCCTTCGATGCCAGGTCATCTGGGAGAAAGGGCATGGGCATGGGGGTTGGTCTCAGGCTTTGGGATGGTGGGCAACAAAGCCTGACACTCTTTGTTCCTGCAGCACACAGAACTGAGAGCTGTCCAAGGCCCCAGAGAGTGGGGCAGCCAACTCAGGGTGAGGTCTTCCACTGAGCCACATGCAGGTTACACAGTTTCTTCCAGTGTCCAGCAGTCAAGAAAAAGGGCCACACTTAAAGGGAAGTAAGTGACTGAAAACACTTTTGTCTGCACCTCTTTAATGTCCTTATCTTGTATTAGCAGTGTGTTACAGCTTCAGCTATCCATGTCTGTGTATTAACTCCAATAGATCATAATTTTCACCTGAGCAAGGAGAGTCTTATCTAAACTCCACCTACCTCACCCAGCTGAGCAATTCAATTCAAAGCATTTAGAAAGCACTCCCTGTGTGCCTGGACTAGTCTAGGCACTGGGGGGGGGGGTATACATACAAAATAAAAAATAGTCCCTACATTCTGGAGGATGGAATAGGGACAAGGAAGACTTGATGCCTAGGGACATGGCAGAAAGAGCAAAGGACTGGGCATAAGGAGAGCCTGGGGCTGGCCTGGGTCTACCATTACCCAGCTGTGTGACCTAAAACTTCTGTGCCTCCATTTTGTCCCAGGTCCCTGGCCTGTGAGAACCTGAGTGCAGAGAGGGAGCTTATTGGCCCAATCATCTTCAGAGCCCCAGGCACTGACCACTGAATCTGTGTCTATTTGTTGAATTGGACTGCTCTGCCTGCCTCCCAAGGCTGTTGAGAAGACCTAATGTGATAACAGATGTTCAAGGGCTTAAAAAAGAATTATAAGTCTGTATGAATATACAGTATCATTGACACCATGAAACCTCAGTCAGGAAACAGATTCCACTCCCTATCTGTAGACTAAATGAGATTCTCTGGCTCCCTCTGCTGAAAAGGGGACTGTGCAACATGGACCAAGTGTGAAAAGTGGTCTGGGAATTGACCAAGATGAGAATGTAGGAGCCTAGGGGAAACCAGAGGCCATGAAGACAGCACAACCGTATGCAGCTTTCAGAGATACAGATGTCCAGATCTTCATTTTGTCCTCTAAGGCTTCCCTTAGTAGGGTCAGCTATAAACCGGTATGTGAGACCTGATCTAAAAAGCCAGGAAGGCTCCTTCCACACAAATCATCCCTTCTTTTTCTGGATCTGTAGCACTGAGGTCCTAATGAAGAAGGCTATCCTCCTACAAGCTAAATTCAACCAATCTGCCACTTACAGTCACAGACCCCTCCAGATTTAAGACTCTGTCTCCTTCCCTGCCCTTCCTCTTTATGCCCAGGACCAGAATTATAAAGCTGAAAGAAACCTCAGAGGTCATCTAATACAATTCTTATCTGAAAAGTGGTCATACAGATGCTGCCTAAAGACCTACAATGATGGGGAACTCACTGCTTCACAAAGGAGTCCATTCCACTTTTGGACAGCTCTCTTTATTAGGGAGTTTCTCCTTAGTAATCATGTTCTCCCTAAATTTCCTCCAGGTTAAACATCTTCTGCTTATTTAACCAATCTTCACATGGCACTGACCACTCTGTTCTGGACACACACTAGTTTATCAACGTCCTTTGTCAGGGTGGGGCCCTGAATGGAATATGGTACTCCAGGCCAGGGTCTATCAGCATCTAGACTTTAAGATATCATGCCTCTTAACACAGTCTCAGATAGCATAGTTTCTTTGGCTGCCATGTTACACCACTGATGCATGTCAAAGTTACAGCCACTAAACCCCTGGATCCCTTTCACTGAATTATTGTCAAACCAGGTGTCCTCTACCTTGAACCTGTACAGTCAAGGATTTTAACCCAAGTGTGGGACTTTCAATTTATTACCATGAAATTTCATATCCTTCTATTCAGAGCATTATGCTGGCCTGCTGAAATCTCTTTGGGTTTTCACTCAAGCATACAACACTGGTTATTCTTCCCAGTTTAATTACTTAGATGTATAATTTCCGTTTTGGAAAGATCTAAGAAGCCATGGAGATCAGAGGAAATGGCTAGTCCACCATCTTGTTGCTTACATGACCCATTAGTCTCTTCCCAATTTAACGTCACTCACAAATTTGATAATCATGCTCGTTATGCCTTCATCCATGTGAATGGAATAATAAATATCATAACCTTGGGTTACTCCAATGGAGATCTACTTCATCACCTCTCTTTGGGGTGACCCACCCAAATCTACCTAAAAACCATGCTATCTTTTCTATATGCCTCCAGCTGGTTCACAAGCATGACAGATTATGCCTGAATTTCAGTAATGCATTTGACAATGTCTATAGGATTCTCCTGATCTGCAAAGTAATACTGTCAAAAACAGGAAATGAGCTTGGTCTGGCATGACTAGTTCTTGATGAATCCATGCTGGCTTTGAGAAATGACCACTAGCTCCAGTGGGCCCTGCCTGCTCAGATATGTCCTGTCAGGCCTCACACAAACATACCTTTGAGGGTTTTCTTAAGATGAGACAGAAGGCCCCCTAGTCGCTGCAGGTCAAAGTAATCCACCTTTCCATTATAGAAGAGTTGTGGGGGGACGTAGGCTTCTGCAGAAAGAGAGAACAAAATTATTTTGTCAAAAGAGAATCTGAATATTCTTCCTCAGGTCCAGCAAGGAGAGACTCTGAAACTCTTGATATTTGGTTTTCTACCTTCACATAAAGGAAGAGAACCCCAGGGTTCTGACTCCAGGACTGACCATTCAGTTCTCTATTGATTTCATCATTACGGGAGGCAATACAGAACTGTGGAAAGAGTGCTATATCTGGTATTAGAGGACCTGGGTTCAAATCCTGGTTTTGCCATGTACTACCTGTGTGCCTTTCACCTAAACTCTCCATGCCTCAGTTTCCTCACCAGTAAAATGAGATAGTGATCTCTTGGGTGCCTTTGAATTCTAAAGTAAGATCCTCCTTGTCACAGGATGGGGACTAGAGGAGTAATTAAAACCATCAATCAACAGGCATTTATAAAGGGCCTACTATGGGCTAGGTACTGCACTAGGTTCTGGGAATATATAAATACAAACAGTGTGACAATCTGTATTCTGAAATGTCTTATGTCCTAATTGGGAGACTCTGTGTGTGTGTGTGTGTGTGTGTGTGTGTAGGTATATATGTATATGTGTACATATGTATACATGTGTATATATGTATATATATATATATATATGTATATGTGTGCATATAAAATATATAGATATATCTATGTGTGTAGACACATATACACAAGAATATATGATAGGTGTCCCAAAAGCCTTGGTGTTATTTAAAGCTATCGAGGACAAAAACTGCACTAAGCCTTAACAAAATAAATACGATGAGAATAAACATAAAGAAACACAAGCTAATTAAATACCAGTTCGGTTAGAAAGCTGAGGCACTAGCCGTTGGGGTACCAACCAGGGAAGGCTGCATGTAGGAGGCAGCACTTGAGCTTCATTTTGAAGGAAGGCAGGGATTCTATGGGCTTGGAGAGTAGGCACTACAAAAGCATGGAGATGAGAGAGGGCTGGGTCTGAGGAACAGAGAGGACAGCTGGGATGGACTGAAGGATGTGGGAGGGGGAGTAATGTCCACTGAGGCTGAAAACATGAGTAAAGAGCTTTAAGAGTTACACAGAGAGGTTTACATTTTACCCCAGAAGCAATAGGGAGCCACTGGAGTTGCCTGAGGGATATGGTTAGGCCTGAGGTAAAATGCTTTGGCAACAGTGTGTAGTACGGATAAAATGGGAAGAGACTTGAGGTAGGAAGGACAGAACAATTAGGAGGCCACTGCAATGTTCTAGAAGAGAGGGGATGATGGCTGGAAGGAAGGTGGCGGTGGTGTGAGCAGAGAGAAAGGGGTCTGATGCAAGAGACATTGTGGAAGGAGAAAAGGGAAGATTTGGCAAATGACTAGATATGTGGGATGAGGAAGAGTGAGGAGTTGATAGTAACACCGAGGTTATGAACCTGAGTGACTGAGAAAATGTTGGTACTTTTGACAGAAAGAGGAAGTTTGTAAGAGGGGCAGGTTTGGGGGAAAAGATAAGGAGTTCTGTTTTGAACATGCTGAGTTTTAAAGTTCTCAGTCCTCGTTCCCCTTGACTTCTCTGTAGCCTTTGAAACTATTGATCATGCTCTCCTCCTGGACACTCTCTTCTCTCTAGATTTTCAGGACACAGATCTCTCCTGGTTCTCCTCCTACCTAGCTCACCGCTGTTTCTCTGTGTCCTTTGTTGGATTCTCCTCCAGATCACACCCCCTAACCATAGGTGGAACCCAAGGTTCTGTCTTTGGCCCTCTTCTCTTCTCCTTCTATACAACTTCACTTGGTGATCTTTCCGATCCCACAGATTTAATGACCACCTCTACGCTGATGCCTCTCAAATTCACCTTTCTTGCCTACCCCAGTCTCCCTTGACCTCTAATCTTGCATCTCCAGCTACATTACAGATATCCTGAACTGCATGTCCAATGGACATCTTAAACTCAATATGTCTACAACAGAACTCATTATCTTCCCCTCACACACACACCCCTCTTCCCTATTACTGTAGAGGGTAACACCATTCTCCCAGTCCCTCACACTTGCAACCTAAGAGTCATTCTTGATTCCTCACTACCTCTCAGCCCCCATGTCCAATCTGTTGCTAAAGCCTGTCGATTTCACCTCTGCAACATCTCTCAAATATGCCCCCTTCTCTCCTCTGTCACTGAAACCATCCTGGGGCAGGCCCTCACCACCTCATGCTTGGACTAATGCAATAGGTTGCTGGTGGGTCTGCCTACCCCAAGTGTCTTCTCACTCCAATCCATCTTAAGCCACTAAAGTGGCTGGTCAGACCATGTCACACACACTCCCACTCCCCCCATAAACTCCAGTGGCTTCCTACTGTCTCCAGGTGCAAATACAAAATGCTGTTTGGCATTCAAAGTCCTTCATGACCTTGCCTTTTCCACCTTTCCAGTCTTCTTCCATCTTCCTCCCTAGCACATCCTCTTCAATCCAGTGACACTGGCTTCCTGGCTGTTCCACAAACAAGACATTCCATTTCTTGGCTCTGGGTATTTTCTCTGGCTATCTCCTATACCTGGAATGTTTTCCCTCCTCTGCTCTGACTACTGACCTCTCTGACTTTCTCTAAGTTGCAACTAAAATCCCACCTTTTATAGGGCATCTTCCCTAACCCCTCTTAATTCTAGTGCCTTCCCTCTGCTAATTATTTCCTATTTATCCTGTATATAACTTATTTGCATGTTGTCTCCTCCATTGGACTGTTAATTCCTTGAGGACAGGGACTGTCTCTTGCCTCTTTTTGTATCCCCAGCACCTAGCCCAGTGTCTGGCCCATAGCAGGCTCTTAATAAATATTTACTGAGTGATAGGATCATAGGTTTAGGGCTGGAAGGTACCTAAAAGGCCATCTGGTTGAATCTCCTGATTTTACAGGTGAAGAGATTAAGACAAAGAGAGGTTATATAACTTGTAGAGGGTCCCCTGGCTAGTAACCGTCAGGTGGGATCTGAACCCACTTTTTAGTTCCAAGTCCTACACTCTGTTTCCTTCAAACAGTAGATAACTCTGAAGTAACACTACTCACAGGGAAAGGGGAACAATTTGGTTGAAGTTTTTTATTTTACATACACATAAAAATCATTTAATTTGCAGTCATTGACTGAAGGTAAATACTGCTGCCAAAGTCTCTCATTCTTAAGTTAGTTCATATTTTTAACAGTTTTCTTGTTACAAAAATGTTATTAATGCCTTCTCTGGTTCCTGTCCAAGTGAGTCATTTCCACAAATAAAATACCTGGTTGTGTTTTGTTTGAATGATAGGAGTGGGAAGGGGAGGGCCAGACCGAGGTGTTTCCTAGGCAGTCAGTGACGCTGAACTGGAGCTCGGAAGGAAGATGAAGGTTGGACAGAAAAGATCATAATATCAAAGATCTCCAACTGAAACTTGGAAGCCATCTAAACAGCTCCTCATTTTGCAGATGAGGAAACTGAGGTCAAGAGAGGGTACAGAAGTTGCCTAAAGTCGCAAATGTAAAAAGTATCAGAGACAGGATTTGAACCCAGGTCCTCTGATTCTGGAGCTAGTGCTGCCTCCCTGACTGTGAGCCATCTACATAGAGATAATAATTAACTTCACAGGAGCTGAGCAAGTCACAAAGAGAAAGAAAGGACAGAAAAAAGGAAGAAGCTCAGGATAGAGCCTTTGGAAAAACCTAGAGTTAGAGGATCTGCTATATCTGATGAGGGAGCAAAGGAGAATGAGAAAGAGTGCTCAGAGACACAGGAGAAGAAGCAGGAAAGTAGCTCCATTAAAATCCAGAGAAGAGTGTTCAGGGAGAGAGGAAGGTGGCAGAGAGGTCAAGAATGAGGACTGAGAAAAGACCATCAGGTTTGGCAATTAAAAATCACTGGTAACTTGAAAGAGAGAAAGTTTCAGGTGAGTGATGAGGTCAGAGGGCAGACTGCAAAGGGCTGAAGAATGCATGAGATGAGGAGAAATAGTGGCAATGAGTGCAGAGAGCTTTTCTGCTTTTTCAAGGAGTTTGTCTGAGAAAAGGAAAGGAGATTAGGATGATATTTTGAGGGCATGGTACAGTCTAGTCAAAGTTTTTTAAGCATCAGGCAGATCTGGTCTTGTCTGGAGGCAGGAGGGAAGAAAAAAGGAGGAAGGAAGGGGGAGAGAGGAAAGGGAAGAGGGAGGGAGACGGAGAAAGAAGAGAGAGAGGGGGAGAGACAGACAGACAGACACAGAGAGAGAGAGAGACAGACAGACAGACAGACACAGAGAGAGAGAGAGAGAGAGAGAGAGAGAGAGAGAGAGAGAGAGAGAGAGCAAGAGCGAGAGATGTTTGAGGGGTATATGTTATGGAGAAGATAGGAGAAGACACGATTAAGGGCATATGTAGAGGGCTTGGCCCTAGCAAGGAGAAGAGCCTTCTCATAATCAGAGGCTTAATGAAAGGAGGAGAATGTGAGAGATGTTAAGGAGTATTAAAAGAGATGGGAAGAAGACGCTCTCAGTAAATTATGAGAAAGCTGAGAAGAAGGAAGAGGAGGAGGTATGGGAGAAGAGAGTTTGGCATAGTTTCTGTGGGGAGTAACACAGGGAATTAATTAGGGAAGAATAAAAAGACTGTCTTGCTGCAGTAAGGGTGCCCCCTCCTCAACCCCCACTGAATTATATAACATTAACACATGGTATATCTAGTCAGCAAGGTTGTATGACTTCTTCCAGCTCCATTCAGGAGCATGTGAGTAAAAGTAGAAGGGGTGGATGGGGGGGCAATCAGGGGTTAGAGTGATAAAGACCCAGAAAGGATATGAGTGTTAGGGGCAGTTGGAGAATCCAACTAGAAGCAAACTGGGACTAAGATAGAATAGCAGATTAGAGATGTAAGGAAGGAGCAGGCATCCCAGGAGGGCTCTCAGGTCTCCCTTATTAGGCACAAATTTGATCATGGTAGAACTGGTATACCTCTGAAACCCACTTTATTTTTTCCCCTGGTTTGCCAGCAACAAATCATCATAAAATCTCCAGTGGGCAT